TCCAACTACTTCTTCGGCGGCGGTACTTAATGATCGGGAAATGTGGTTCCACTGCTCGCGTATGTCGGATTGTTGAAGAGTGCTCTCAGAGAGCAGGTGTGTGAGTCAAGTGGCGAATGAGTTTGCCGTCTGTTGTGATTGCAGCTTTTCGACGTTGAGATTTCCTTGCATTTTTGGGCGCACATTTTTTGCTGCACAGAGGCGGGTGCGTATCTTGGCTACAACAAGTTAGTGGTCCGAGTCGATGTTTGGCCCCCGGAGTGTACGTACGTCTAAAACGCTTGAATCATTGCTTCCTTCTATCACAACATGATCGATTTGGTTTCTCGTTTTTCGATCTGGAGACAGCCATGTAGCTTGGTGGATATTCTTATGCTGGAACCTAGTACTACATTCTCTCGTCGTACAAAGATCACACTCTATAAGTCACTCATCATGCCTGTGCTGGTGTATGGCGCGGAGGCATGGACAATGAAAGCATCTGATGAGGCGGCTCTTGGAGTTTTCGAGAGAAAAATTCTGCGAAAGATTTACGGACTTTTACGCGTTGGTGATGGTGAATATCGCAGACGATTTAACGATGAGCTGTATGAGCTTTACAAGGATATAGACATAGTGCAGCGAATTAAAATTCAGCGGCTCCACTGGCTTGACCATGTCGTTCGGATGGACAGAAACGCTCCTGCTCTGAAAATATTCAACGCGGGCCGCGATGCTGGTAACAGAGGAAGAGGAAGGCCTCCTCTGCGTTGGAAAGACCATGTGGAGAAGGACTTGGCTTCACTTGGCATTTCCAATTGGCATCAGTTAGCACAGAAGATAAATGACTGACGTGCTGTTTTGGACTCGGCCAAAATCGCTTAGGCGGTTACAGCGCCAATAAAGAAGAAGAAGAAGAAGTAACGAAAACTGTGTAACTCTAATTTTCTCAATTTTCAAAATTTTCGGTTTATTGCGAATAGTTTTTGAAGCATTTCCTTCTAAAAACTGTTTAAGTATGCATTGTATTCTACAAACAATTACGAATAGTTTTGCTACCTTAACAAGAGGTGTGATTTCAGAATAAACCATCTTGATCTTGATCGTAATTTTTATTCCAAAAACATCTTAATTAAAGGCACATTTGAAAAACACGTCGAAACGATCTAAATATTTTTATAGCTACTAGTCCTTATAACGTTACATATAAAAAAAATAAAGTAAAAAAATAAATAAATAAATATACATACCTGTAAAATGCTTCAAAAAATGTCTTTAGAAGTGTGTAAAAACCCCGATTTACTACTTTTAATGATGCTCCTTCTTGTAGTCAGAATATTTCGAGCGTGGTATCAAATCAACTTTTTTCGACAAAGGTTCTGATAGTCGTTCCATCGAACCTTCTAAATTCAATGACGTCCCCAGTTTTGCCCGATTGACTTCACTTTTCGAGATAGCGGTACTTACAAATTTGCTCAAATTTTAACTATTTTCTAAAAAAAAATCTCCCTAATTTTTGAATTTATTTTACTAAAATTTTGCACACAGTTGTATTTTTATATTACCTTTAATATCTCTTAAAATCATCGAAATCGGTTCACTATAACATCTAGCTCCCATACAACTGATTGTTCAGAGACGTTGGTTTGCGTTATAACTATTAAGCAGGTAAAAATTTAGTATAGGTTCAAATTAACATATATCACGCATACAATTTATTATTCCGGTATGAAATTAGAGCTATAGGGTAAAAACACATATCTGAGTAATCAGTTGTATTGGAGCTATATGTTAAAGTGAACCTATTTCGATAATTTTAAGGGATAATGAAGTTAATATTAAAAATCGTTATGTGTAAAATTTTAGTAAAATAAATTCAAAACTGAGGAAGTTATTTATAAAATAGATAAAATTTAGTCAAAGTTTCAAGTACCGTTTTCTCGAAAACCGGAGCCAATCTGGTGAAACGGGAGATGCCCTTGAATTTCGAGCGTCCCAAGTAAGTGAATAATTTACAACTTCCACATCGTAATTTGAACCCAGCTTATTTTTTTTGGTTTTCTATTGCAGCGATCTAATTGTTTATTCCTCATCCAACTTTGAAGCACTTGATGAAAATGAATTACACTTATATTTATCGATTTATTACGATATTACGAATAGAATCATATATAAAACATAAGTGTTCCCACAAATTTAAAAAATTAAACTTTTTGTTTTGAAAGTGTTCCTGTTTTTTAGATTTGCTCACATGCATGCATGCTATAAATAGTACATAAATATATCATTTGAAGCAAGTAAATGAGTATACATATCTGTTAGACTTTTAATAATATCGCTAGCTAAGAGTGAAAATGCGCTAAGTCCACTCTTAATGCATTTATATTTTAATTTCATGGGATCACTTAATATAAAACAATTAGGTGCTTAACTCTTCCAATGGCAAATCGTTCTAATGCGAGCAATGGAGCTAAGCCGTAGTCTATTCGATAACCTGATGTACATAAATGTATATCATGAGTTCACGTGTGCAAAAACTTGCAAAGTAAAAGGTATGTTGACTCAAAGTGAAAGTTCACCTGGGGTGAAGTTGCAAATTAACCAATTTTTAATACCCAGAACAGCTGATCAAATGCTCGGTTTGAAATTTACGGTAATACATAATTAAGTTGTTGATAGAGCTCAACATTTTTTAGTGAATAAGTAATTTGCACACGTTTGCTTAGATAATTACTTTCGAGGATTATTTAATTGACACTCCTCTTATATTTTAATGTTTTTGGCTGCAAACGAAATTCCGATCAGCTGGGCCTTACACTTGAAAGGTTTTGTAAATTTTGGGCTCGCATACTCTTTCCCTTGATAGTTTTCATTAAACCATTTTTATTGAGCTTGAGGCCGTTTTATGTGAAAAATTTGTTGCGGGAAAACAACAGTGATATTTTACTATTTGAGAAATAATCGTTCGTTACCATCCTGCAAGTTTCTTATGGATAATTATCACGGGAGATGTTATTAAACAGTTTTAAAAGTTATTTAGACTTTAAATATATTCACATAATAAAAATTTTGAACTCTTCCGGTTCCAAACAATTTCACAAAATGAATCTGATACCTTTTCACCTTTAGTTAGCGGTATGCCTAAATTCTCAATGCAAGCTATGACTTGTAAAATATTTGCCTCATTTGGAGTTTTAACAATTTTCCAGCTCGAAACTTATTAGACCCTTCTTGAGACTAGCCAGAAGCTGCGCATCTGTCTTGTGCTGCCGTTCGACTCCTCTTCAGAAAGCTTATCTGGTAAAAGTGGTGAAAGAAGAGTTGCGTCTCTGTACTTTAGCTATCGGTGACGGCGCCAACGATGTCTCAATGATACAGGTGTTTGATATGAGGCTAACCACTTTAAACTGTACTAATTGGAGTCTTTATGTAGATGGCTGATGTTGGCGTTGGTATCTCCGGCCAAGAAGGTATGCAAGCAGTAATGGCAGCTGATTTCACATTATCACGTTTTCGTTATTTGGAGCCCTTATTGTTAACGCATGGATACTGGTGTTACGATCGCTTATCGCGCATGATTCTTTATTTCTTTTACAAAAATGCCGTAAGTATTTTATAGCTGCTAGCAACCATCATTATTTATTGTTCTTAGCTTAAATTATCTTCCAATATTTGAAGGCCTTTGTGTTCCTAATATTCTGGTATCAACTCTACTGCGGATTTTCTGGTTCTGTTATGATAGATCAGATGTATCTGATGCTCTATAATTTAATATTTACATCGTTACCTCCCCTTGCCATCGGCGTGTATGATAAGCGCGTGCCCGAGGATTTTTTATTACGAAATTGTTTTTTGTACAAGCATGTAAGTTCTTCATTAATATTTATGTTCATGCAATTATTCTTCTTGATACCATTTAATTTTGTACTAATTTCTAAAGGGTCGACTGGGTCTCGCTTATAAACCTCATGACTTCTGGATAATACTCCTAGATGCCCTTTACCAAAGTTTAGTAGTATTTTTTATGGCTTTGTGTTCATATGCTGACTCGGATGTTGGTATTTGGGAGTTCGGAGCGACGATTACAGCTTCCTGTTTATATACGAATTTAGTTCACGGTGCACTAGAAATAAGATCATGGGTATGTAGCGGCAGTGAAAGAAATTAAATATTTTCGAAATACGCATGCACACTTTCGATTGCAGACAATATTACACGCGCTCTCTATTATCATAAGTCTTGGTTCATTTTATGCCTTCTCTATTATTTATAACGCAAAGTGTGTTAACTGTTTTGGACTACCGTCTACTTATTGGGTGATATTTCGCTGTTTCGGGTCTGCAGTGCATTGGCTCGTGATACTCATATCGACCTTGGTGGCCGTTTTACCGCGGTAAGTTTAGCATGCCATTATTAATTGATAGTGTTAAACCTCATACTTTATATTTTGTATACGCTTTCTTTGCAGACTCCTGTTTATAACCATTAAAAATGCATTATTTCCTGCTGATAGTGTAAAGATTTTGCTACAAAGACAGAAAGACCGTAGTAGAGGTGATGCTTTGTTAGTTGCTTGGTCAAGGTCAACATCAGCTTCATCAATTTTTAGGTAAAGAACACACAACACGTGCTATTTACCAATATGTACCTGCTTACTTGCACCATTCATGCCATGAAATGCGGCTTGTCTGTTTCATTGGTACGTTCGCCGTACAATGTTTGTACCGTCTCAATAATTAAAAATATCACTTTATTCAAGAATCAAAAAGGGATCATACAGAAACTGCAAATGCCATATACATACAACACATTGGTGTGTACTACTTTTTCAAATTAACGATCTCAGTGGAAAAGTTTATGTCTGGGAATGCAAAAAGTAACGTAGGTTATAGGGGCTAACCTACGTACGAAAAGATGCAAGAATTTCTCCTCAGCGATGTCATACGAAAGTAATGTGTCGCATTTCGCTTAACGAAACTATGAATAGAAGCTATATATAGAATTTAAAAAAATAATAATAATTATAAAAATAAAAAATAAAGTCCGAGCCACAGGTTTTGAACCCGTGATCAACAACACACGACAGTCGAACGCGCATCCATTCGGCTACAGCAGATGTTGCGATAACATGAAACAAAAACATACTTGAGTTAGTTTTCAAACTTTTTGCTTTGTTTGTGGGAATTGCATTCCCATTTTCCCACTGGGACATTACTATATTTCCACATTAATATTAAGAAATTGTAGAAATAAATCTATTAACCAGGGACGTGAACCGGATGAAAAATTTGGTCGGTTCGGTTCAGCGGTTCGAACCGTTGTTGCACTTTTGGATTGGTTCGTCAAAGCGGGTTTTTGGTCTTTGAACCGGGATTTCGGTTCGGTTGAACGGTTCGAAAAACCAAAAAATAACGCGCAAATTTAAGTGTCAATTGTAAAGTGCAGCAACGCGCAAGGTTAAGGATCAAGTGAGATGGGCTGCCTTTACATTTGATATTGTCACGTGGTAAAAAAACATGGTAGGTGTTACCATGTTTAACAAAACGAAAAAAGTGGTACATTTATCTATTGAAAATTGGTTGAAACGAACCTTTAAACCTTTAAAGAAAGTGGTTCGGTTTTCGGTTCGGGTCAAACATTTGTGGAAAATTTCGGTTCGGTTAGTGGTTCAGTTAATTAATAGAAAAAAGCGGTTTTCCGGTTCAAAACCGGTTCGGTTCAAAACCGGTTCACGTCCCTGCTATTAACTAGACTTAAAAAAAACAGTTAATTTGAACATTTCAATTCAAGAAGTAAGACGGAAGAATGTTGTTGTTGCGCAATACTCTGGAATGGATGGTACATATCTTTTGATCGTATATGTACTGTGTAGGTATAGGTTAGGTTGATGTGGCAGTCGGTTCGAATTACCAACTCACTTAGACCTTTTTGAAGGTCCATTGTGATACCACTGCAGAACACGGGAACCTCTGTGACTAATCTTCAGAGAACCATTTCGAAGCTCTTATAAAGCGTAGGATTGGCTTTATTCCTACGCATGATAATTCCGTAAGAGAGCTAAAGAAGGGCCTACCTAAAAAGCCTGCTCTCCTCCTGGCCAGAGCTGGGCAGCTACAGAAGAAGTGCTCTACGGTTTCTTCCTCTTCCTCATCCCTGCAACTTCTACAATATTCGTGGGAGAATATTCCTAGTCTCGAAGAGTGCCTGCCAAATAGCCAATGACCGGTAACACAAGCCATGACCCTTGCAATATCCTCTCTTGAGAGGCTGAGCAACTCTTTCGTCTTTTTCTTATCTATTTGTGGCCAAAGTAGCCTAGTTGTTCTACAAGTG